CGCCCCCCCCCCCCCCTTCTTGCCTCTATTATAGTGTCCACGTCGCAATGGACTCGTTCACTTTCCCGAAACGTAGACGCAGGAGGGAAACGGGCACGAAAAGGCCCGTATCTATCTACTTGTCTCTGTTGTTTGGTGGTGACGTGTGGGTAGGGATGATGGATGATGATGATGGCGATTAGATTGTTCTGTATATCGCTGCTACGGCTGTTGGCCGCCATTTCTACATACCTGCCATCGGTGTTAAGTGTCAGGGGGTGTTCCTGAGGGCGCCCGGGTTGTCGAAGGTCTTTCGGGGACACCTCAATTGTGCGAACTTCGTCCGAAATTTGTCGGTGACATCACCTCTATGTTTTGGACTAGTTTGGGTTGACGACAGGCAGCGCCAAGGCGATTTTCGCTCGTGACGGACACGTGCATCACGTCTATGCACGCTCTCACTCTCCGTCTGCCTCTGTTCCCCCCACTAACGGCATACTGTATACCAAAGACCAGTGCAACGCCTACAGCTAGTAGTAGGTACCCCAGGCTGGGCATGCTACCAAGTGGTGCCCATGCGCTTCGTATGGTTTCATGCAGCGTGTACGGAGTGCCTGCCTCACCGTGTTCTCGTCGGGTGCGCTATGAAACACTCCAACGAAGGGCAGCAGAGAAGTTCCAAGTCCCTTGTTACTTGTTGCTGCTTTCCAGGTTCAGGTTCACCATCGTAGGCAAGTTGCCGTTAGATGACCCCCGACTCGCCTTCTCTCACACTCTTCGCCCTCTCCTTCCCCCTGCGCTCTTTGGTTCTTTGCTATTTTTGGTGGACGGAATCGAAACGAACCGAAGGAGGGAACGGAAGCCCGCCTTCCGCTGCGCAGCCCTCGTGATGAGGGATGAAAGATGATCAGATAACGAGAAAGAGAAAAGGGGGCCCGAAAGAAGGGCCGACAACATCACCCCATACCCCGATTTGAAGACAGCCCTTGGTATGCTGGCGGCTCTTGTTGCCAGGACGAAACAGGTTGGCCGCAGCTTTCATCTCGCCCCTCCTTACTTCACTTCCCCCGCCCCGCCGAGCTGTGCGCTTGAGAGGCGATCGATGGATGCGCTGGTGGGCCTTATGTGCGAGTCAGAGTCAGAGTCAGGTGTTTACAGTTTAGTTTTGGTGTGTGGTGTGGTGTTGAGTGCGGGCATGCGGGTTGTTGCGGCGGACGGGTGGTGTTGTTGTTGATGCCGTTGTTAAAAGCAACTGTACCGGATGGGGGGAGGAGGCGAAGAAGTGAAGTGCGGTGCTGATGCGACCGTTTTTTTTGGTTTTTTGGCCGTCCCTGCACTCGGAGCGATTTGTTGTTTTCGTGCCCCCAAGGGGTGGGTGGTGTGAGGTGTAACTCTTCCCTTTTCCCTGAATTTTCCTGGCAGTGGTCAACGAAAGTGAGTAGAGGCTATGAGGAAGGCAGGGGAGATGGGATATGAGGTGCGATCGATGATTTCGAGCAATCCGTTCCGTTCTGGTGTCGACGTAGCGCCGCGTGTAGTCTGCCGAGCGCGTTGTGAGGCAAGAGTAGATGAGTGCAGCGCCATTTTCGAATCGACCGCATTTTTTCCGTGTTGGTTATTGTGCGTGTAGCGCTCCGTCGCTTTTGGAAACGAGATTTTTTTTTTTCTGTTGTCTTTCAAGACTAATATCATAGTCGGCCGCCGCTTGGCTTGTTTCTGTCCCCTCGTGGAGTTGATGCGCGGGCGGGTTGATCTCATGAAAATGGTCCATGTTGACTTGGGGGGCGGGAAAGGGGCTCCGTGAATCGTGGTAGCCACGGGCACAGGTCGAGCAACTTAGCAGGTCGCGGCGTACCTGGTCCGTCCGGTTACGCTGTCCGGCTCTTGCTTTTTTTTCATTCGTCGGGGGACCACCTTCCCGAGAGAAAATGAACCGCTGCTGCAGAAGTACTGCTGCAGTGGTGTTGATGCTGCTGGTGCTGCTGCTGCTGCGGTGGCGGTGGCGGCTTTTGGGCTTTAAAACCAAATCGGAAGTGTCTCTTGCCTGACATTTGCTCTTTTGTCTTTTTCCTTGTTTTGGTGCGATGGTAACTTGTTGCGCGCCCGTACTCTAGAGTGTACGGTGGGGGCGGGTTTGTGAGGTGGTAGTGGGTGGTGTTGCGTTTCAAATTTCTTACCCTTACTCTTAATCTTCATTTGGTTGCCTGGGGTTGATTTTGATCGGAGCTCTCCGTGTCGAGAAGTAGCGGCGGTGGCGGCCATATGCAGCACCACGTGTCTACAGCTTTCGCGAAGTTGTGTTTGTTTGTGATGCGGTGATACCGAAGCGGTGCCAGAATTGGGACGCCATCGAGAGGTCGTGAGTAGCGACTGAGGGACTTGAGGGTCGAGATGCCGGCAGTAGCAGCAGCGGCAGCATACGAGTAGGGCCGTAGGGACCATTCATGTTGTCCGTCCTTGGCCTTTGTGTTTTTTGCATGTGAAAGTAGTGGTATCGGACTGCTGGGGGGGGGGGGGGGGGGGGGGGGGGGGCTGAATGCTCATCGTTGGGAAAAAATCGCTCTGATAAATATTCCAGGTTCGGGGAAAGGGGGTGGGGGGTTGTGGGGGCTGGACATTTTGCCTTTCGGGGGAATGCCGCTCTGATAAATATCACAGGTTNTACCTCTCCCACTGACTTTTGAGCATAAAGCCTTTCCGTTGCGTTGCGTTGGCTTGATAGAGGGAGGGAGGGGGGTGCAGGGTCGACAAGAAGGGGCGCTTTGCGTCCCGTTCCGTGGCGAAGAACAAGTGGTTTGTTTGCATGTTCTGTCCCGTTCGCTTCTCTGTGGCGGTGCGGCGACGTACGTTCCGTTCCAACAAGATGCACGGTGGGGATTTTTGGTGGGTGGGTCGCTCCGGGGCGATGGTGGTGTACCGTACCGTAGCTTACGCCACCTCAAACGCGAGAGCGGGCGCCGATCACATGGCGTGGGCTTTGCGAAATGACATGTTGACAGCGCAGCACGTTGGTTCGTTTCGTTTAGGTGCCGGTTATCTCTGAGAGACGAGGCTGNCTTGGGCAGGCGAGCAAGGGCTCTGGAGACGGAACACCGCAACTAACACTCAATACCTCAATGCACTCGTTGTATCGTGTAACGCCTCTTGTTTTTATTCCTTATTTTCTTGGTTCTTCGGCCACATGTGCCTCCCATCGTCCGTGGCAGTACTGAACTAACAGTTGGTTACCTTACCGTACCTTACCCTACCCTACCACACCAATGTGCCGTGTCGAGTGTTGACCGGGTACTGCAGTAGCTCGAGTTGTCGTCAGGGGGGGAGAGAGAGTCGGATTGAAGCAAGAGAAAAAGGGCAACATTTTTTGCCGCGAGGGTCTTCTCTCATCCCCCTCCCGGCCAACCGACCGACCGGCTAACGGACCAGGCAGATAAGGGCAACCACAGAGAGAGCCTGGTGGAGACGGGTTGGTTTGTCGCTTCGCTGCTTGGGTTGACTGGCTGATGAGTTAATCAGAAGCGCGCATCGACAGGCAAGGTGCGCTATAATTCTAGGTCCGTATCTAATCTGTGTACCCCAGTGTGTGCTCAGTTGGATGTTCTACCGAGTTGAGGTTTGTTAGGTGGGCGCGGAGTCCGCGGGCGTTTTGGAGTCGTCCGATAACTCGTTTGGCGTTCGCACTTGCGTAGGGAAGTAACGTATTTTTATGCATGCTGCATGTGCTCGTTTTTCGTGTGTTTTTTTTGTTTCAGTAATGATATGGAGTGGACACAAGCGAGCTTGGTAAAGTTTGGCGCGTCATTTATCGTCATTAATCAAGAAATAAGAAGTCACCGGGTTTTTCATCACGATTGATTGTGCCACATGATGATCCAAGGCCATCACAAAAATACGTGGTGCGAGCACGGCAATGATTGGCCGTGCCCATTTCACCCTCACCACCCGGGCGTGGGTTTCATGCACCGTCTGCCTCGCCCTCCTCTCAAGGCCGGCAGTGCTGATTGCCGGTGTACTGTGAACGAATGTGGGCAGCAGGGCGGACTTGTCTCACTCTCAACCCGTACACGATAAAAATAAGAGGGCTATAAATTAATTGTCGACATCGACCTACAGGTGGCAAACAAACCTCTTCCCGCACGACGTCGTTTGCGGGAGGGCAACTGCTATCAAGTAGCGATCTACCTCGCAGGGCCCAGCTCTCGAGGACAACACTCATTTACGGGATCTACGGTCAGATGTACACTAGGACTTCAAAGAGCGTTATCACACAGGAATTGTACACAACACCACCCAAGGCCAACTAGCACGCATTTTCCAACCATCAAGATGCAAAGACCGCCAATTCATTGCGGAACAAGTAGCACTCTTGAACAAACGAGATTACATGGCGCTTCCAGCGCAGCAATCGGCGGCACATATAGTCTGAGCACACCAGGGTACGATCTTTCCTGCTCGAAGGACACAAACACTACGGCTCCCCGCAGAACAGATGCACTCCACTGCAATGTTTTTCAGAAGCATGGAGCCCCGCAGGATGTCAAAACAACAGGGGCGGGGGGGGGGATTCTAACGACATTGATTTTGAAAGGACCACCACCAGTGGCTTTAAAGCGGGAACGACTGTAATACACTTGGGGTTTAACGTTAACGTCCTGCCGACGTGACCTGGTCAGTTCTTCGGGGTGGGCAAGCGCCGCAAGGGCACGGCTTCGCCGTACTCGTGTCGGCCCGCCCTTCCCTCCGATACCTGTCCCATGAAGGCCCCCACGTGGGCGGCAAGCATCCCCACCAGTTTCTCGTCGTTCTCGTCAAAGCCCTCCGGTTTGTTCATCATCTCAATTACCTTCAGGGGTTGTTGTAGCGGATGGAGGCGCGGCGCAGGAATCGCGGGAACATGCGAAAGCATCCGAGCATTCGGGAAAAGTCAAACACAGCTGCGAATACATACAACAACGATAGCCTCGGGGTGCTCTAAAACGGGGACGACGGACATACCAAGACTGGAACAAAAAAGGCTCACACACACACGGAGAAGAAATATATGGTGTCATTATCAGTATACTAAGGTCGAAGTATCTCGCAACAAGACCGGTTGAGATTCCCAAGGGAGCCGATAATATTACTCCTCTGTAGTCGCTGCTGTATGCAACTACGGTTCCGCTGACGGGGGCAGTCCGAAGGAGAGTGTGCCTCGCCGGCAGCCTGACTTGCCTCTATTAATACGCGAACCGTTCACAACGAATTCAGACTACCACACACGATAGCCAGCCGCGAAACCCTACATAGGTGAAAGATGGAGGTGCGCTCTCACCGCGATTACTTTTCCGTCGTCCTTTTCGTCACTACGGCTCATTACCGGCACCGCCAACATATTCCGTGTTGTTGTCTTCATCGCGAGGTCCACTCCCTGGTAGTAGTTTCTGCCCAGTAACGATACCAACGTCCGCCGGAAAAAACACAAGCAGATAAATGTAGGTAGGAGATGTTCGTTCATTGCCAACGGCTGTAGACGGGGCACTTGGGCCTGAAGGGTGAGGTTGGTTCTCTATGGCCAAAACAGAATCCCGCATGACGAACAACTCTCCACGGAACGTTCACAAACTCTCGCGACCGTTCTTGCGAGGCCAAATGGAAGTAAGCACCGGAGAAGAAAATACGGAGAGGTGCTCCTGTGTGATCCCAGCGGGTGCTTCAGACATGGTTCACCGAAAGGTTTAGACTGACACTCAGGAAGAATTGGAACAATACACCAATCGCGTGCTGAATTATGTTCACATCGTCCTATTTTTCGACGAGCCCACGAAACGAACATTGCGTATGACCTATCGCATGCATACTCCAAGGGAAGCTTTTCGCGCAGAAGGCTAACAAAGATGACGTAATTGACGCAGCTGGGGGCGATCTAAAAGGGAGTCAATGGGAAACCTAGGAGCTACCGCAGGCGCTTCGTTCGTACACTCACGTGTTCTTCGACGTGTCAGCGACGTTGAGCAGCCTCTTCGTCCTGACCACCTCGCCAACGATCCCTGTCGTGATCGGGATCGTTATCAGCTTGCCCGTCTGGTTTCGAACAGGCACGAGAACCCATTTCCGAACCGGCACGAGAACCAGCGTGCAAGCGCAGGGGCAGAGGCAGGCAGGGTCACGTGGTGTCGACACGAGCAAACAACGGTACACCCAACGAGTCAGCATCACGCAGTACATCCTAATTATTGTAGCAGAGTGTCAAGGGGCGGCTATCCGGTAGACGAGATCCCAACGAAACTATCACACTATCCCGGCCGCGTCCTGCACGGACCATCACTCCACCCCGTCCCTTCGGCTAAAAGAGAAATTTAACAGCAGTAGACATCCGTCGTCTATCATAGCGAACAGAGCAAGAGGGATGGAGGAAGAATCCACACGCCGTCACCGCCATCCTCCATACATCGCTCGCTCTACCGACAGAGACGGAAGAAAATCCTGACCTTGATCTCTCCGTCGTTGTCGGTGGCAACCTTGGTCCACAGCTCTCCTTCTGCCTCGTCGACGAAAAACAAGGAGCACTTGGCCGCACCGACGATGTTGTGCCCGTCGTCGAGGATGGTGGCGAACAGCGAGTCCATCTCTCGCTTTCGGAATCAGGCGTTACACGGCACAGCAAAGGCAACTGGAGTCTTTCAAGCCTCTCCGCACAACGGAAAGAGGTGGCGAGATCAACAAAGAATAAGCTTCGGCGAAGGTAACGGGCGACCGAGATATTTGTCCTGAGCAACCCGCCGCCCTTCGAAAGCGCGGGGGGGGTGGCGCAACAGATACATTGTGCGCTTACTCTATGGGTGTTTGCGGCGCCCAGCCTGTCCCGGACCGTTGACACATGATCCATCAAAAGCGCTCCATCGATGTTATGCGTGTCACGGAATAAGAAAATTTCGGCGCAGCCCCCAGCGTTTCTGTTGTGACAGACACTAACTACGCATCAGAGACAGCTCTCTCGCTAGTGGTTGCAGCAAGTATGCGGTAGGCCCCAGTCACAAGGGCTGAATCAAAGCAGTTGGGCAGAACTCGCACGAGTAGGAACGGGAATGGTATGCATGCGGTTTGAGCTACACGCTCACGTTGGCCATGCGTGTCGCCCGAAAGAAGGAAGGCAATGTGACAGCGACGCAGAGGATTGGAGCAACGCCTCTCTTCAACACCCCCTCCAGCAATCAATACGGCCCGTGCTAGGCCCCCTTCGGCCAAGAACCATACGAAATACCCAACGTACGCCACACATTGTGGGCAGACTACCATAAACAACGAAAATCTACTCCTTAACTCTTATGGCAGGTTCCCCATGCTTCCTTCCTCCTCTCTCGATTTCTCCTATCTCGTTGAGGGCTCAACTGCTTGTCGTCCCTTGACGAGCATGATCTTGTGTTTCTGCATGAGCCCCTTTTGATTAGTTATTTTCGGGTTATTGGCGAGACATACACCTCCATGGCAGTACGTCACCTGCTTTTTTTCCCGTTCAGCGTGGGTGGTGTCCATGAAGAGGAGCGTACCCATCCCCAGGATGCACCCCACAACGACCCCACAAGCAGCTCCCGACGTCGCCGCCAGCTTGCACGCCCGGAGCCCCCGTTGTCTCAGCGTAAGGTCAGGGGCAGGCAGCCCCATCCTCGTCGCGAAGGCCTCCACTGTGCCTCCGAAGCAAACACCGCACACGTCGCTCACCTGCGAGAGAGCGAAAAGCGCAAGTGGCGGCACAAACGAGCGCATGGCCGTATTGAATGGCGTGGTCCCATATCTTGCCCATAATAGCCGAAAAAGGGCCCGGGTTTGGTGTACTCATGTGTATTCCTGGAAGAGAATGAGGTAGTTTTGTGTGTTTTGTTGCGAAGGTTCGTCGTTGCTGTACAGAGAAACGGTTGGTCGACACCAAACCTCGGGGAGGGGTTGGGGCCAAGGGATGGAGTATATAACGCACGCTGCGCCTTTGCTTCCCTGCCCACACCCTGCACCTGCATGGTGCATGTGGTGCCGCTCTTTTTTTGTTGCTGTCTCTTTCCTGCGTTTCATCCAACGTCATGTTCGCACCCCCTCTCCCTGTCGCACCCGTTCTCTCTGAGCCAGCCATCGCCAACGACATACAATAGTAGACAACGACTTTTCAATGTGCGTGTTGGCGTGTTTTCGTCCTTTTTATTATGGCGACAGTCCCCCCATTTTTCGTGGTGGGACGTTTACTACACTAACGGGAATATGTAGAATTCTACACTTTTCAGTGTATCCTTTCCTATCACGACAACCATCCAGGGTCACGCAGGGGGGGGGGTAAACACCAGGGCTTTTTCGTACAGCAGTGTTGCAGAGTGACGCTGCGCGCGAAACGCGGAGACTGCTGCAACTCGAGCAGAACTCTCCTTACTCACCACTTGACCACAAGCCGCTGCGGTCAGCGTCGCCAGCCCAAACTTCACCCCTAGAGTATTGTCGATGAGGTCGCCAGCACTGATCATAACAAAATTGTCCATTATGCCTTTGGAGTAGTCGACGAGGAGGTGGGGAGAGGGTGGCAGCAGCGAGGCAACAAGTCCAAAGAACGGTCAGCCTGCTTGGAGTACTAGCACCTGTACCGAAGAGAAAATTGACACGTGGGTACAGGAAGTGCCAAAACATCGTCAATTACTCTTTTTTAGCCAATACGTACGACAGGGTGCTTTCTGTTCACAGACTCCGCATGTGCCAGCAGAATGAACAAGGAAGGGGAATCAACTTCAAGAGTTCTACTTCAAGAGTTCTACACTACCTTACCTCCCCGCGTCGCCAGACTTACCAAACCCAACCATCGGCGCCGCGGAGTGCATGAAAAGCGTTCGTAGCTGCGCCTGTGTTGGAGGCGCCGCCGCTGCCGCGGCTTCAACTGCTGCTGCCGATGATCTGCTCAAAGTGGTTCCGCCGCTTTCTCCTATTCCTCGTTTCGTTCGTTTCGCTGTTGAGAATACACGTCGCGCACAGACCGGTCTGCGGCTAGGCGCTCCAAAAGCAAAGCCTGCAGCTGAGGCTGGTCGCTGCCATCGCATCTTGCTACCAGCGCCGCGAGAGAGGGGCGGTCCACAAGCATGGATAGGAGCGCGAAACGGCGGGCAAAAATGCGGCGTAACCACTCCATACTCAACAGAATGGAGACTTGAGACACCGCAGCGGGCAGGGAGAGAGCAACAGGCTTATACCCGGCGACTGCCAGAACAACGGACGTGAATCACCCGAAGTCAACCCCACAGCTACTGTGGCGGCATCCCGGTCGGGGAGGGGCAGTGGCTGCCTCTGTCCTGTTCGAGGATGAGAGAGAGTCGGTGCGGAAATACACCGAGCAGCTCAGGTACGTACATTTCGACAACAAAAAAATAGTGTAGCTTCGCTGTGATGACGTTGCATCCATCCATCTACACGATAACACAATACCTGAAGTGCACTAGACCACCATTGCGTGCAGTTGCTTGCAGGACCTCGCACCCAGTCCACATAGTCTGTCGAGAGTAGTAATGTCCTGTCTGTCTGGGTTCTGGTCCTTCGCGTGGATAGGAACGGAAAAGAGGTCTGTGGTCAGTTGGATGGCGTTATGGTTCACTAGCGGCCAAGAACCAGATGAACAAGTGAGAGGGTCCCTCATAGGCCTGCCCTCCATCGGCCGTTTTGCTTGTATGACGGAGAATAAGAAGGTGGAACTACTTGAAATTAGTATAGAAATAAAGTTTGTGTATCTAAATCGAAAATAAAACGGCCGATGGAGGACAGGCCTATTAGAGAGGGAGAGGGAGTACATTTTACCATCCGTGCGAAAGGATCTTTACTTCTAAATTTGCTGTCTCCTCATTGGTTGGAGATGCACGTGCGCGCGCTCCCTCGGTGAACCTCTTTTTGGTTCTGTTCACAAAGCTCGCCTGGGGTGGGGAAACCCTGGCGCTATGTGTCGTGCAATAAGTCAACCCTAGTTTTGGTCAGTGTAAGAAGACTTGNGAGAGGGAGAGGGAGTACATTTTACCATCCGTGCGAAAGGATCTTTACTTCTAAATTTGCTGTCTCCTCATTGGTTGGAGATGCACGTGCGCGCGCTCCCTCGGTGAACCTCTTTTTGGTTCTGTTCACAAAGCTCGCCTGGGGTGGGGAAACCCTGGCGCTATGTGTCGTGCAATAAGTCAACCCTAGTTTTGGTCAGTGTAAGAAGACTTGGGGTAGTTAATCGCAGTATATATATTAAAGAAAGGCGTGATGGAATGGAAGGTCAAGAAAGAGTATGAGGTGGAGACTAGAATTGAGAAGGTGTTGGTTTATGGTTGGAATGATGAGCTTATGAGGGAATTGCAGTTAGTTGAGAGAGAGAGAGAGTTGGAGAGAAAGTGAAGCGGCGCAATTAGGTAGATACGGATGAAGCGGCGCAATTAGCTCGTGTCAGCTGATGTCGCGTGCCCCCCCTGTTTCAGTGTTCAATTTCCCTGCTGTTCCCAGCCCACGAAGGCCTAAGAAACACACTTTGATCGCAAGCAACATCGAGACGCGCAAACCCACGACCCCACTGGCACATCTACACATATATCTACGCGCGATAGGCCATCGCCGGCCGATTCCACGTCACTGGCACCGAAGGAGGGGCCACGCGGTTAGCGCACCGCTTGCGGTGTGTTCTTCCCATGGCACAGAGAGGTGAGGGGGGGGAAGTGAACAGCGATGAAGGGACGGTTGGGCACTCGGACCACAGGGGTGGTGGTGGTTCTAAGGGCGGTGGGATGGATGAGTTGTCGACGGGAGGGGATGAGTCGGCAGCTCAAGCGATGTCAGGGAAGGGGGAAGTGCTGACAGAGAGACCTCGGGAGGAAGGGAAAAAGAGGTCGGGTGGAGACGTTGAAGTTGGAGACTCACGTCAGACAAGGGAAGTGCTATCTAAGAATGTACAGCAGACATCCGAGGATGCACAACGGACAGAGGCTGAGGTCTCTGGGGGAAAGGGTGGATGGCCTGAGGGCAAGAGGGGTCATGAGGGTATTGCGCACGCTGGGGGGGGAAGTGTGTCGCAAAAAGGGGAAGTGCTGACAGAGAGACCTCGGGAGGAAGGGAAAAAGAGGTCGGGTGGAGACGTTGAAGTTGGGGACTCACGTCAGACAAGGGAAGTGCTATCTAAGAATGTACAGCAGACATCCGAGGATGCACAACGGACAGAGGCTGAGGTCTCTGGGGGAAAGGGTGGATGGCCTGAGGGCAAGAGGGGTCATGAGGGTATTGCGCACGCTGGGGGGGAAAGTGTGTCGCGAAGGGGGGAAACGGCGGTGGGTGACTTGGAAAAAGGCGTGTCTTCAAGTCTAGCAAAAGGGCTGACGCACATCACGGGAGATCGGGGCAGAGAGATGTGGGAGAGTCATGTCCCTGCGAGTCGGGGAAGGAGTCTGACGAGAGGCTCGGGGGCAGGGGAAAGGCGCCTAAGCGCAGATCAGAGGATGGCAATGGAGGCAATGGCAATGTCAGGGTTTCACGCGTTAGCGCCGCGAAGTAAGAGGGGTGGGGAGGAGTGCTACTCACGGCGAACAAGTCAAATGCGCAGAAACAGAAGGTCACAGACACCTGACGCGGGTCATTTTTTTTCTCGTACGTCAGGTGATGGGGGAGGCAAAGTGCCCATGAAGGAGGAAGAAAAGCGCAAGAGGGGGGCTGGTGCCCAGGTGGAGGAAGATGGTAGAGGGAGCAGTGCCTCGGACGAGGGTGGTGGAGGGGATGGAGAGTCCCTTGGTGGGCAGCCACCGGGTGGGGGGAAGGTGAGAGACACATCAAGGGCGATCCTTGACTTGTTACAGTCGCACATTGGGGGTGATGTGGAGGCTCTCCAAAGTCTGGTGTCTACAATGGGGGGAGGTGGAAGAAAGGAACCAGCGAGATACAAGAGAAATCTCGACAGGTGGAGGTGAAGGGTGAAAGAGGTGCACAGTATTGCGAGATTAAAAACAAATCTCGAGGGGTGAAGGTGAAGGGTGAAAGGGGTGAGAAGTACTGCGAGGTTAGAAACAAATCTCGAGGAGTGATGGTACAGGGTGAAAGGGATCGGAGATTAAAAACAAATCTCGAGAGGTGAAGGTGAAGGGAAAAAGGAGTGAACGGTATTGCGAAGTTGAAAACAATTCTCGCGGAGTGGAGGTGAAGAGTGGAGGGGGTGAACTATATCACGAGATTGAAACGAAATCTCGAGGGGTGACGGTGCAGGGTGAAAGAGGTCCCGGGTACAATTGTGATGAGGAAAAGAAATACCGCGGGCAGAAGGAAAGAAAGCAGAGCCAAATCCCGGGATCAAGGCAGACTCTCGGGGGGGCTGGGGGAAAGGGAAAACAATCATCACACGAGAACATCGAAGACGACTCGGAGGGTGGGATTGTAGAGGAGGAGGGGGGCCGATCGGTGGTGCACAACACCGAGGGTGATGGCCTGGCGACGGGGAGCGTCTCGTCCAACCACGGTAAGCGACGTTTTTCAGTATCTAAGGAGTATTCCAAGCAGGGTGGAAGTAATTATCCCAAACTGCAAGTGGTTTCGGGTGCTGATAAATTGAGCTGCACGGGTGTAGGCCGTGGGAGCAAGAATGTATTGGGGAGTAGGCCCCCGCAAGAAATTCTTGGTCATAGTGTGTCGCAAGATGCACGTGTACAGCTTCAGGAACGAATCACTAGTAAGACACACAGGGATTTTCCAGAAGTAGGGGTGCCGAACACGCCCCCTTCGTCCGGCCAGACGAAGTCTAGCATTGGCACAATGGGAAATGTTTATGACAATGCAAAACCAGTGGAGAATGCGTCAAACACTCAAAGGAAGGAAATACGCAAGGCAAATTCTCCGAGGGCAGTGAGGTGTCCGCTGGATCCTCAAGCGGAGCACACGGCTGGTAGCAATGGTGCCAAAAAGGGGTCGATCAATAGGGACACTAGAAAGGGAAAAAGCGTCACCGTTGATCGTGCTGGCAGCAAGCAGAACCATGAAACTGTTGCTTTACCAGTGATAGAAGAAGAGGGCGTGATAGGGGATGCATCCGCCTCTGAGAATTCTCTCAAGCGTGAGGTTGAGGAAACAGCGCAGGAGGGAGGAATTTTTGGTGAAGCACAAGAAGGAACAGATCGCATTTTTGCCGTACAAGTATCTTTTAGTTCTGTGTCAGGAGAAAGGAGTAATGGGGTGTACCCTCCGCCTCCTTTTACGTTCGCTACAGGTGAAGCGGCGGACTACCTGTCACCATATACTCGGTCGGTCGGTGGGGATTTGACGATGGATCGACATCGGCATACGACTAGAGTGCAAGTGTTCGCGGGGTCGAGAGCGACAAAGATGATGTCGTGGGAGGCTCTGTTGGATACGGGAAGTCCGGCATCGTTTGTACAAGAAAGGTGTGTGCAAAAGATGTTAGCATGTGGTTCAGCTTCAGCTGATAGCATCGAAACAGGACTAAACAAGAAGTGGGGTGGGTTCCATGGGGTGCCGTTGGTTACAGATCGAAGAATGCGATTAAATATTGAAATGTGGAAGGGCGGAAAATCAGCGCCGGTTCATTTCGGTACACCGACGGTACGGACGAGTGTGTATGCGTACATCGTGCCAGACTCAGCTATGGGACATGATCTGATACTAGGGAGGGATAGTTGGTCTGATTTTCCGGTTCGCAGATTCCAAGACGTGTCGGACACAGAAACAATTGTCACTTTTGTCAGTGCAAATACTGATAAAGTGGCAGGAGATCACCGCTTTGAGGAATGGGTGGGTAACGCGGTTGGTATGGTGGAAACGGAAGGTGATGGAAAGGTGGTGGTAAAATCTAATGGTGGTAGACGATGGCTTCCAAATGCAATGTCATGGGTTGAGGTAAAATTAACCAACCTTGATGGCAGTGATGCTGCGGTGGGGACGTACCGGGTGCAGTTTGGAAAAAAGTGGTTCCCGCAGGAAGCATTAGTCGAAAATGGCACGTCTGAAATTCCTCTAAGAAGAGTGGGGGATAGCTCGTGTCTGGTGAAACCAAAAGATATTTTGGGGTATGGTGGTGAACCCCTGGAGGTGGTAAATTTGGATGATGCTCGTTTGGTGGAAAATGAGGAATTCAAAAATGTATTTGCGGTTAAGGAGGGTGAAGAGGCTGACGTGCCCAACGACGAACCTCCCGCGGATGTTATGTCTTCTTTGAATGGGGCGCAACAGGTGACGTTCAGGCGGTTGTGGCAGCGAGTGCCTCCGCACATTCGAGACGTCAATTTCGACTTCAATGCGAAACTGTGGGAGGCAGAGGACATTGACAAACTAGGTGATTTATTGTGCAAGTTTGAGCATCGTTTTTCAAAGGGTGGTTCGGATTTAGGACGGGTGACGGTGGATCCGTTTCGAATCATTTTGAAGCCGGGGGCACAGCCAGTG